AAAATAAACGTAAACCTACCTCAGTTGTTGTGAATTATTGTTTCTACGGCTCAAGATGGTGAATTTGAGCGATGCCGTGGGTTTTGCGTTGACTTACTACACGTCATGTGTCACGCGCCATAAACTTCACACCAGGCTAGTTACTAGATGAACCGCCGCTGCGAATATGTCCCTTCTCCCTTTCCACACGAGACATTTATAACAGGGCATTGTTTAGCATCATCCAATCAGTGTAGAACAAACAGCGCGACCGTGTTGTTTTAAAATCTTTCACTGTAAAACTTGGACGTTTAATTAAACGCCAAAAGCTCAAAAAAGGCTTACCTGCTTTCAATTGCCTTCTTTGAATAGTATCGTGAGAAACGACTTTGCTTTTGAGTATGCCTTGGCATTTGAATGAATGAATGCTTTATTTAACGTGGATATACGCTTAGCTTGAGAGCTACGTTTACAAGTATTCCACCTAGTAACTAATGAAAACCTAACAACTAAACAACGCTAATATCACAATTCATCAGGTAAAATCATAAATCATTGAATTTTGTTTTTTTACTGCGTATTTTCGCGATTTCAAAATCGGCGTTATTAATATTCGCAGTTTCAATAAAACTGGCGTATTCAAGACGTCAGGTATAGATCGACCAAGGCCGGCAAATGACATCTTTTCAATTACGATTGAATTGAAATATTTTAAGTGGTGAAAAAAATACTGACACATATAAAGTATTGCACCGGCAGTAAGCTAGTAAATAAAACTTTTCTTGAAACTAAAATTCTCTAGATGTCTGAAAACAAAAGCAGAAAAAAGAGCTAGAAATAAATCATGGCTCCTCTTTCAACTACAAATCTCTCAATGCTTTGTCGATTTACTCAAAATCAATTTTACGCGTTCTTATTTCAAACTGCTTGATCCCCTTATTTTACACTGATATTTTTCTGAGCCATTACACTTTGACATAACAATATTAACAGATACCAAGTCTTTTTTTACAAAATTTGAGGAAAATCAGCTCATTAATATCACAACTTTTTCTAATGTAACTCTTTCTGGGGTATAAAACTGACCAGTAGAAATAGCATGCTATTCAGGACAACTAGTAATACCCTCGGCAGCCAGTTCATGCAACAGAATTGGAGTCATCATTATCCTGTATTGTGGCTAAAATTAAAAATCAACCACAAAAAAAAAAAAATGTTTAAAATGTTACCTTCAGGCTAGAAACTGCATTAAGCCCTATTTAGTGTGACTTCTGGTATCACTTTCGAGCCTCAAATGTACGCATTGCGGTCCTATTTTGTTAATTTTCTTCTCTTTGTTGTTCCACCAGGTGTCCTGGCGATTGCCGCCTGAGATCAAAAATGTTATTCAGTTCCACAAAGGATACACTAAAGAAAAAACTTGAAGGCTTACAAGGGGAAATTCACGCTAATGACATGAAAGATTTGCATTTTAATAAAATGGTAGAAAAATTGGAAAAGAAATAAAACAGCAGTTGAGTTGAAGAAGTGTTATCTTAAAACACGAAACTTTGCACATACATTTCAACAAGTGTTCACCCTTCTCTTATAGCATAAACAACCACCTAAGGCACGAAACTTTGCACATAGACTCAGTATTAAAATTGCAATAAATAACTGTGGTCTTACACATCATCTTGACTTTTGAATCTTTTGCCATTGTACGACATTGTTCTGATTTATTGATTCTGACCTACAATAAAACGTTTCTTGTTCTGAACGAAATTGTGTTGTTTTTAAGTTGTTATTTTACTCTTGCCTGGAGCATGACCGTGTTAGGACGATAACCTTGTCACGGAACAATCTCGTTCCTAGACTCTGTCTTCTTCCCGCTCCCAAGCACACCTGTGGGCGAAAAGAAGAAAGAAACCAGGAAAGGGGTTGATCCTGATAAATTTGAAATACAAGTTTGCCCATTTGTTTTGGTAGGGAGAACCAAAGGGGCCTGGGGCCCGTTTCACGAAAGCCCCGGAAACTTTTCGGGCCCGTAAAGCCATTTTTAGTCCATCTGTATCTGAAAACGGAGAACTGTATACACCTGAAACTTCTGGTATGAAGGGAACCTCTCTTCATATTAAGAATATGTGAATAAAACAGCTCTGTAATCATAAGGTTCGAGATCTTACTATGGGTTTACGGGCCCGAAAAGTTTCCGGGACTTTCGAGAAACGGGTCCCCGGTGGCGTTATTCAATTTACCGTGCGAGAGGTCCAGGTTGAGGCCAGGCCGTGGTTATTGTGATGTGTTTTTGGCAAGACACTGTACTCTCACAGTGCCTCTCTTTACCCAGGTGTATCAAAGAGTGGAACCCTGCGATGGATTTCACATCCAGGGGGAAGTAATATATAGATTTAGCTAAGCCTAAAAGCGGAGCTCTCAAGGAATAGTTGCATAATTGACTTAACCCAATAATTCACCAATAAGCATTTCACCAAACCGAATGAATTTAACAAACACAATCAGCAAATTACTAAGTGCGAGTGTCAAATACCAAATCCGTTTTTCGCTTTAAGTGTCATTGGCAGAGAAAACCGGGCAGTACCAAATGATCGAGGTCGGCCGTTTACCTTCATCTTTTCACAGAATAAAAGCTATCCGAAAAGATAAACAACCATGACATTTGCCGAGGTAGGCGTTAGTTTTTCTTCGAGATATCACCACATCATGATTTTGGCCTCTCAAGCGGTCTAAAATGGCCGAACTTTCGGGCAACTTTAGGTGAGCCTAAAAGATACTTCGTACAAATTCTAGAAACTGTTGTGGTCATTGTTAGGGTACCATTTCACCTTAACTTCTCAAAACAACTTCTTGCTACACTAAAATGGTATTTGTGCTTGGTGGAAAAAATTCGAGCCTCTTATGCAATTCTCTTACGTGAAAGAGATCGTCATAGCTTGGTCTCATTCGAGCAATTCCTCGGTGGGACCCTAGTGCTTGTTTGAAAAAGTTACCAGAGAATGAAAAGCACTTAAGGGTTAAAACTAGTTTGGCCAGGCGGAGTAGCGTTGTCATGTTAGGCTCTTCTTTGGTTCGATGTTGATTAAAAACATATTAGACAACGGTTAACTAAAAGATCGACGAAGTTGATCAGAGTTATGGGAGCAGTAACGAGAGTGTATTGTTAACACGGGGGCAGTCAATTTTCGTAGTTAAGTGTATCTCTGGGAAATTGGCAATCATAATTAAGTCCAGTAATTCCCGCGACCATGTAAGCTACACTAATAACGGCAACCATCTCACGAGGCGCACGACCGTGATTCAGTCATGCTGAGTTTGAAACATTAACATGTATGATAACCTACAATTTGAATTCAGTGTGTAACAATGTCTCGTGTTTTTCGGTATGACGGTATGAAGACAATTGCCTGAGATGTCAAAATTCAATTTGATTCAGACTTGCTTTTTACACTGGAATTAGCTTGACTGATTAAACAAAAAGATAAAATAACCTTTATTCACCCTCGGCAGTGTTCTGGAAGAGACGAATTGATACTGTTCAAGCAGAAGTCAAAGTAAAACNCCCCCCCCCCTCCCCGAGACGAGATGATGATTAGTGAGAAAACAAAGGGGATTTGAGACGAAATATATCCCCGAGGGTTTAGGAACTGTAGTACATATATCAATTCCCTGGATACGGGTACGTGGTCAAAAACTTACCACCTTGCACTTGCCCTCATCCCAGGCGTCAACCCGATGAAAATTAATAGGTGATGGAGAATTGCTAGTTTTTCGGTGAACTGAGAGATTTACTCATAGCCATTACAAATCCAGAACGCTCCTGAATGGAGGGGAGAGGGGGACACCTGTCAACATTGCTTGTCAAATAGAAGGGATGAAGTTTACGCTTGAGGTATTGGTCAGACCACGTCCCAGAAATCCCTGCTGGCTTAGGGAGGTTTGACAAACCAACTCTGCTTGTTCCTAATCCATATGGAGCTTCATTAATATCTGACTACATATTAAGTCTCCAAAGCAAATTCATAAATTTAAAGTTACCGAGTTTGTTCGCGAAGTCAGCACTCACTCGCGCGAACACGGATACGCAGATATTCTGTTGATTTGTAACGCACTCCTCCCCAACGTGGAAGAGAAGTGCGTGACCAAC